GCGTGCTCGGGGCCACCAGTGCGGACCAGTTTAGGACAGTAAGAAGCAGAGTGACACCAGTAAGGACCAGTTTGGGACCAGTTTGGACCAGCACGGACCGGTTGGGACCAGTTTAGGACAGTAAGAACCAGTGTGACACCAGTTTGGGACCAGTTTCGACCACTTTGGACCAGTGTGGGACCAGTTCAGAACCAGTTTGGACCAGTATGGACCAGTTTCGACCACTTTGGACCAGTGTGACACCAGTATGGACCAGTTTGGACCAGTCTGGGACCAGCTTGGACCAGTTTGGGACCAGTAAGGACAAGTGTGGGACCAGTTTAGGACAGTAAGAACCAGTGTGACACCAGTTTGGCACCAGTTAGGACCAGTTTGGGACCAGTATGGACCAGTTTGTGTTTGCCAAGCCCCCACCCCCCCCAGGGACCCCAAAGTGTCACCTCAGGGTGCTGTGACAAACCTGACAAAGCCCTCCCCCAGTGCCACCAGTGCCACACCAGTGTCACCATCCCAGTGCCACCAGTGTCACCATCCCAGTGTCACCATCCCAGTGTCACCATCCCAGTGTCACACCAGTGTCACCACTGTCACCATCCCACTGTCACCATCCCACTGTCACCATCCCAGTGTCACCATCCCAGTGCCACCAGTGTCACCATCCCAGTGTCACCATCCCAGTGTCACACCAGTGTCACCATCCCACTGTCACCATCCCACTGTCACCATCCCAGTGTCACCATCCCAGTGCCACCAGTGTCACCATCCCAGTGTCACCATCCCAGTGCCACATCAGTGTCACCACTGTCACCATCCCAGTGTCAGCACCCCAGTGCCACCATCGCAGTGTCACCATTGTCACCATCCCAGTGTCAACATCCCAGCGTCACACCAGTGTCACCATTGTCACCATCCCAGTGTCACCATCACAGTGCCACCGGTGTCACCATCCCAGTGTCAGCACCCCCAGTGTCACCATCCCAGAGGCACCAGTGTCACCACCCTGGTGTCACCACCCCAGTGCCACCACCAATGTCACCATCAATGTCACCAACATCACACCAATGTCACCAATGTCCTTTACTGCTGTCCCTGCTCCCGCAGCCACCCCAGTGCCACCATCAATGTCACCAATGCCACCAATGTCACCTCAGTGCCACCATCAATGTCACCTCAGTGTCACCAATGTCCTTTACTGCTGTCCCTGCTCCCGCAGCCACCCCAGTGCCACCACCAATGTCACCAATGTCACCAAATGTCACCTCAGTGTCACCAATGTCCTTTACTGCTGTCCCTGCTCCCGCAGCCACCCCAGTGTCACCATCAATGTCACATCAATGTCACCCCAGTGTCACCATCAATGTCACCAATGTCACCCCAGTGTCACCATCAGTGTCACCAATGTCACCCCAGTGCCACCACCAATGTCACATCAATGTCACCCCAGTGTTACTATCAATGTCACCAATGTCACCCCACTGCCACCATCAATGTCACCCCAGTGCCACCACCAATGTCACCCCAGTGCCACCATCAATGTCACCTCAGTGTCACCAATGTCCTTTACTGCTGTCCCTGCTCCCGCAGCCACCCCAGCGCCCTCAGCAGCGCCACCCCAGTGTCACCATCAATGTCACATCAATGTCACTCCAGTGCCACCATCACTGTCACCTCAGTGTCACCAATGTCCTTTACTGCTGTCCCTGCTCCGCAGCCACCCCAGCGCCCTCAGCAGTGCCACCCCAGTGTCACCATCAATGTCACCAATGTCACCCCAGTGCCACCATCAATGTCACCAATGTCACCAATGTCACATCAGTGTCACCCCAGTGCCACCATCAGTGTCACCAATGTCCTTTACTGCTGTCCCTGCTCCCGCAGCCACCCCAGCGCCCTCAGCAGCGCCACCCCAGTGGCCACCATCAGTGT